ATTTATTTAGCCATGGCGGGTAACAACTGAAAATATGAAATAAACACACATGTAAGCTAAGACTCTCTAAAGAAACAGCATTGTTGTTGTTCGGCTTTTCATTTCGCCATTTGTTGATTCACTTGAAGAGCAAGTAACGTAATATGGGTCAAGCGATCAGTTTGATATCAATCTTTTGTGATACACCATCATATTTACATTATTTGTACAGTACAAATGATTTTCTTTGGTACCTGGTCAAACTTCAGTTCTCCTCTATCTGCCTGGCTGCGTTTCTCCAACAGCGCACTCGTAGGCAGCAGCTGCCCCGCCCCGCTTAGTGCCTGAGCTTGGATCATACCAATATTAGGGGGGGATTTACGCACAGTCGTAAAATCCCACAGTGTGCACTATGTGCGTAGAATATTGTGTGTATTTTTTTGCTTTATACAGTTGTCAGCCAGGCATCTAACTATGAAAAAATTACACTCCAAAAGACTCCGGGCTTCTGAAAAAACAACCCGGGCTACACTTAGCTAATGCTAAAATTAAGACTAGCTGATGAGAGGGAAGGACCGAGAAAAATTAATCAAATATATAACCTACCTCCATGGTGCCACGTCCATATATTTGTTTCAGCAAGTGACTAAAACGTCCTCATGAAATAACACATTAAAAAAAATATGACATTTTAAAGTGAATTCACAAAATAGTAAATGCTCCCCTCTAGTTCATATGCTGATAACCAAACTCTTGCAGTCATAGACTTGAGTTCAAACTGCAATGATTGAAAACTCACAACAAGTTATTTGCAATCTTTTACTGAGTTTATTTTATTATAATATAGTATAGGAGGGCAGCACGGTGGCACGGGGGTTAGCACTGTTGCCGCACAGCAAGAAGGTCCTGAGTTCAATTCCTCCATCAGGCCGGGGTCTTTCTGTGTGGAGTTTGCATGTTCTCCCCGTGTTTGCGTGGGTTCTCTCCGGGTACTCCGGCTTCCTCCCACCGTCCAAAGACATGCAGCTTGTGGGGATAGGTTAATGGATTAATCTAAATTGTCACTAGGTGTGAATGTGAGTGTGAATGGTTGTCTGTCCCTATGTGTTAGCCCTGCGACAGACTGGCGACCTGTCCAGGGTGTACCCCGCCTTTCGCCCTATGTCAGCTGGGATAGGCTCCAGCGCCCCCCGCGACCCTGAAAAGGATAAGCGGAAGCGGATGGATAGTATAGGAGCAGGAAGGTTTGTTGCAGTCTAATCACTGAATGGACTCATGAGTTGGCTGAAGTAAGTGTTAGGTGTGTTATAGTGTGCTATAATTTAATGTCGGTAACATTCATAGATGGTGAAAGGTTTGCAGTTGAAGTGTCTTTGGCAACTGCTACTCTAAGGAAATATGGGATAAGCACTATTATCTTTTCTTTTTCTTTGATAGAATATTTTTTATGCACTCGGGTTTGCAGTAACCTAGTGGATAAAAATCCTGATCTGATTTCTCCTTTCCAGTTTGTTTTGAGGTATATTTAATTGACAAGTAGAGTTTCTGTGATGTATTCAAAATGGAATGACATTAGTTTATTTAATTATATTTGTTTTTAAATTGTTTTGTAAAAAATAAATGTTTTAAAAAAGATATCCATATCTATTTTATTATTTGGATGAACGTGTAAGAAGAACAGAACTAGGACCAACAACTGCAGACAATTCAACAAAACTGTAACAGGGTGAGAAAACTCAATATTTCACTTTTCAGAAAAGTTGGGCCAGCTTGATGCGAGAGGAGTAAGTGTCAACCTAACATTCTGTACTGTGTGCATATTGTGTCAGTGTTCTAAGTCAAACCACCTTTTTTATTGTTGTTTTTTTCATTTGTGAAGTTTCGTAAACTATATCTTGTATTCTGTTGTATGTTTGCATGTTGTATATTCGTTGCAGTAAAATATTGCCAGCCTGTTTTCTGTTTAACTAGGAGAATATAAGGCGTGCACTCCCTAACCCTTCATTATTTTACAGTGCTAAATCTTAACAAACTAGATACACTCACACACAAAAACGTGTTCTACACATATTTTTTGTAAACACATGTAGCAGCAAGCTCACTAAATGCTTTATGTAAAATATTATGGATATTCATATGGTGGCTATATAAGATAAATTGATGTATGTTCCAAATGTAGAATGTTTCAGTAAAAAGTAAAGTAAAAATAAATTTACAGCAGACAATTTCTGGGAAAATTAAACATGCTTTTTTAAGGCTCACTTACACTGACCTATCCATTTTAGCTCAGACCATTTTTACCACATGAAAAGCAATAGTGGGCTGAATTTCATTCAGAACTGCCTAGTTGTCTAACAACCCTTTCAATTTAAATTCCTTGTCCTGTTTGATCTGCTCCACCTCCATGCTCTGAGGCCATCTGTCAATCTCCATTGTCAAGTCCAAGCACCAAACACTGAATGATCTTTTTTTTTTTTTAGAACTGCTTTTAATGTGACTAATATATTTTTGCTTTTTAGTGGTTACAATAATCTTTCCTATTATGTCAGGACTCTTTGAGTCTCTTGAAATACATTCTATAAAATAATGGCATTATCATTGCAGATTATGCAAACATTAAACAAACGTTTCAACTTCTAGCAGTGGAAGTGAATTACATTGATCATACTGTTATAGTGCAACACTCTTTGTTGAAAACGCTGGGTCATGGCATTCATATGGATAGCACTTTGACACATGCCACCCAAACAAACATTTTCTCAGACAAAGCACACCCTCCCATAGTTACGTCACACCCATCAGGAGGATAATGGCCCACACCACAAAAAAACTACTCAGGAAACCAAATGCATTGACTTGATCTCCAAGATCCTATTATACCTTTGCAGCATCCCCCGGAACAAGCCCAGGCCAGTGATGCTGTCATCCACAGCCCACAGGACTTAAAGGACCCAGCATCTCCATGCCAGTCACGGCAGCATACATCAGAGGTTTAAGCCATTGTAGCAAAGTTTGAACTGAAACTGAGCTCCTAACTTTAGAGTCTAGGACCAACTCGATTAAAAGCCCCCTACATCATAACCCATTTTTCTTTCACCTGGCCTATTATGGCAACCATATGTGAGTTATGTAAATAATAATGCAAGTGGTGAACTGTAGTGCAATAAAATAACTGGCAGTTCATTGTTTTTTGAGTTTTTGAAGCAGTAACTTTAAAATATGAGAAGATGAGAATTTGAAATGGTTAAATCTTGCTAATTTTTTTTTAAACAACTGTTATTGTGACTCATTTGTCCAGGGTAACGATTCAAAACAGGGCTATAACTATACTGTTGATGGTAAAATTAATATTTTCAGATTATAATGACATTCTTCACTGCAGCAATTAAGGAGTCAAGATTTTAATCATTTATGCAAGTATACAGGGAAAATACAGTTATGTGTCTAGAGTGATCAGAATGGCCCCTTTTAGTGTCTTCTCTTAAAAAAGGAGACCCCTAAAAGCTATCAATTCAGTGTAGTGGAGTTAAAAAGAATAATAGTAATCACCATACCAGAATGCAGAACACAATAATCTCAAATGACGCTTTTAAAAACATTTTAAAGATATTAAAAAGAGGTTTTTACAGTAAATCTTATTGCTATAGAATTTCCCTCAAGCTACTCTGAAATTCAATGGTCTTTGCTTTGTTTTGTGGATCCAGACGAGCAATCAACAAAGGGCTGAAATGAGTATTTCGGAATTCAATCAAAACCTTTAGACCTGCTCAATAGCCAATTAAAGTATCCAGATAAAGAACAGATTTTACTCTCTTTTTTGTCGAGCGTTTTTATCGCTAATCAAGAAATCACTGGTCCACTCAGCAAATGAGATGGACCCTGACGTGATCATCTTTTGAATACTCGTGATGCCATTGTGTCCCGAGTCCTGCGCCAAAGGATAATGGACACCTCAGCTAATCAGAAACACAAGGCTCGAAAGAGGGAGTTTGTCTTCCTCAGTTCACTGATTGCCAGCTTCAAAACAGTTAGGCTATATGACGCACACCGTAGTCAGCTGGTGCGCGCTGCAGTTTCGCAAATAAGACTAAAAGACCTTTCGTGGAAAGGTTGATTCGTTATGTTGCTGGCAGCAACTGGTGAAATGTGAATTTTCAGAAATGTTAGACTTATATCAAAGCAACTATTGGTGAAATTTATGAAAGAGCCTAAATGCACAAATTTATCCAGTTTTATTTAGTTTTGAAAAATATTTTGAAGTCCATGTTTCTTGACTAGAATGAACTCGGGCTCTTAAATCTTAACGAGAGCCGTTGCGAACCCACCGTTCTGTCTGCATAGAAACACCAGCTGTTTGTTTTTATTTTTTACATTTTATATATTTATTTAAGAAGAATTTGTTTGTTAAACAATATCGCATCAGATTAATCACCGCGATCGGTGTGAGCAGTTATTCTGTTGCTGGGCTGTTTGCGTGTGTCCACCCGGATGTTATTTAATAGGTTACACGGTCATATCCTTAAGAGATCTTACTGCCCATGGCCTACACGGTCTCCCTGACATCCACTCACAAAAAGCCATTGTATACTTGGCCACTGAAATCTGATTCGTCTTCTTCTTCCTTTTTAAACCTACTTGAAAGCAAATATTTTAACCACATCTCAGTCCCAAGTGGATTTGTGTTAGGAGCACTTAGATTTAAGTCACTGTCACAACAGGCCACTCTCCTGCAGCCTGTAAAAATCTCAGATTTGAGAAATGTCATGTTCTCTTTCATCTTATCCAGGCGTGTACGCTTAACACCTGATAGCAGACTTGGACGGACTGTTTGGCAGCTGCTCTAAAGAGGTGGGTTTGGGCACAGCTCAGTTGTTTCTGTTATTGTGGCCAAGCCCACGCATAGTTTTTTTTTTTATTTCTTTAGGTAGCCTGCTGAATGGTTGGCACAGCAGACTCAGCTATTTTTTTTTTTTTTTTTTTTTTTTTTTTAAACGTATGGTAGTTCCAAGAAGACCGCGTTCTCGGAAAGACTGAAACATAATCTTCACTTTTCAGTGACTCAGCGAGCCTGGTACACGACCAGATATTTGTTTCAGGGCTACAAGATGACAATGGCATCTATCAAGCCCATTCAAACTATGCGTGGCCACTGAGCCGGATCTTGAAGATTGAATGCATGTTTGGCACGGTACCTATCCATCTGAATCCCCACCTAGAGGCAACAGGTTACACGTCTCGCCTCCCTCAAATGCACTTATAGCGCACGGATTTTGCACGGCTTTGACTTTCCATTTCTCCCAGCACTGCGCCTTTTGCACATGCCTCTCACCATGGTGGAACATAACGGCCTGGATATTATGTGTCCGAACAAGTATAGCAACAGCTCCTCGTCGTCGTCCAGCTCCGAGCAGGACAAGAAGATCTTCAGCAAACTAAAAATCAGTTTGTCCGAAGACTATCCGAAGAAGAACGCGGAGTTCCTGAGCGGGCAATACGGGACCAATCTGCTGTTGATCGGGGCGGCGTTGATGCTTGCCATCGCAAACAAGAACCCCTCCGTTAAAGAAGAGGATCTGCGGTCCTTCACTACCTGCCTCATGATCCTCCAGCTGCTCTGGATGATGTGGTACATCTTGGTACGGGACAGGCAAAAGAGCGTGCCGCCAGAAAAAGATGTACACGCCACCTCAGGCTGGATAAGAGGCGAGTTTGCGAGATTAAACAGGCAAATGCGCACTTATGCAACAGTTTTTTCCGTTAGTGTGAAAATTAAAGGGATTTATGCGCGTGACCACTATATGTTTGTTTCATAACTTAAAGAGAACTTGAATGTTAACATATGTGGTCACAAAGACTTTATTTTCTTTGATTATATCGCTCAATAACTTTCTTTTTCTAGGTGGTTTGACCCTTCTTGCACTCCTTTCACTGATTATGGATGCTTTCCGAATTGGGCAATATGTTGGTTTTCAACCTTGTGTGTCGGCGGTGCTCGTGGTATATCCTGTCATCCACGCAACTCACACTATGGCACAGGTATGTGCACAGCCTAGGTTTAATTTTTAAAATGTGACACTCTTTCAGCAGTATCTTTTTTACCCACATACTATTTCAAGATCTTAGAATAATGTGCTCTTTGTTGTTAAGGCAAGTAGAGAGCGTTGCTGCGACAGTATAATCCGATCATTGTCCATGTCGCTTGAGTGTAACTGCATATATCAGTGGGAATCTTTAAATGCAATGACTTAAGCAAATAAATAGAATTAAGTTTACAATAAGTATGTGCTTAGTATATTATGAAGTGTATTTCTGAAGCTTGATAAAATCACTAAACTGCATTTTGGATATGACTTTGTCAAGCTTTTTTAAGACTTGTGTTTGGGTTTTATTTAGGTGCATTTTCTCTGGTTTCACATCAAGGATGTCATCAAGAGCTTTGAAACATTTGAGAGGTGTGTGAAATGTGCGATAACCTGGGCCTTTAGTCAATATATCCTTTTTTTCTTTTGTTTGTTTTTGCACCTGCAAATCATAAGAAAATTATGTGTTCATAGTTCTATTTTAATCAATGGCATGAAACAAGCTCAACAACACCGCTAAATCCTGTCACTTATACTTGCTGTTAGGTGATCGGGTGTCTTATTTTCAACTGCTGTCTCCTCAGATTTGGTGTAATCCATGCAGTCTTTACCAACATCCTCCTGTGGTGCAGTGGTGTGATGTCAGAGGCTGAACACTTCCTGAACAACCATAAGAGGAGACTTTCTGCCCTGGGCCTCATAAACCTCACTACAGGTAAGGACCCGGGGGTCGATTGCAGGCTTGTTTTTAGAAGAAAAGTACAATAGTCCGCTTGAGAACTCACTTCAGTGGATGAAAGAAAAGGGAAAGAGAGGAGGGCTTGGAAGTGCAAGGGAGGTAAGCCTGGCTGCTCAGCGGGTCTTGTTTGTGTCGAATGTCTCTCTATTAGGTTTCAGAAGACACATATTGTTGCCCCCTCCCCAGTCCTTTCCCCACACTTCAGCCACCACCACCTCCTTTGGCAACCCCCCACTTGACCTCAGACGGCTTTGTCCCCAGGCTGCTTAGTCCCAAGGGTACTGCAATTACAGTAACTGATACATCTAAGCTTAGGGTTGAGGGGTTCTGCTACTCCTCTTCATATCCGGCTGACTGTGAGGCTGGCTGCACCCTGACTGTTGTTCACTTTTTAATTAAAGGGTGCATGACCATAGTAGTGGGCTCGGGGGGAAAGGGGGGGGGGGGGGGGGGGGGCGATGGGGGCCAGGAGCAGGTGAGTTGGGAGGGGGCTTAAGACCTAGAGGGCAACAGTGTAACCATAGGAAGTGTACAAGACGTGCATTCAGCTAATGAAGGAAATTTCAAACGAATACAATATGATTAATAAATACTCAAAAGCAGAAACTTGCTTGCTCTCTTTCTCTCGCAAACAAACAATCACACACAAAAACATATTGGCATTTTCATCATTAAATAAATAAAATAAATAAATAAAAATCACTTTTTTAATTTAGTTCAATTTATTTTTTTTGTACAGCTCAGTGTCACAAATACAGGTTTAAAGGGCTTAAAAGGCATAAAACATATTAAGAGATAAGGTATCCCAACAATTAATGCAATAATATATATATTAAGAAGAAGAAATATTTAAATTCCAAATTAAAAGGGGGTGTACCAGTAAGTACAGTGGGTGGTATACTGGTTGAGAGGCTACAAAATTTTAAAAGAAATCTTTTGCTTTGAAATTCATGTAGTCTTGTAAAACCGAGCAACAAGATGTCAGAAGTAATCATAAAACAAATGTTGTTGAATAAAGAGAATTACAAGTCTCTACAGAATAATACTTTTATTCTTCTGGGTTTTTTCCTTCCATATCATTATTATTATTATTATTATTATTATTATTATTATTATTATTATTATTATTATTATTATTTCCTCAATTTTGGATAAATCAGTGACTACGGCCCAGTAGCACTCACCCCCATCATCACTAAGTGCTTAGAGCAGCTGGTCCTAGCACACTTCAAATCCTGTCTCCCCCCCACCTGGACCCCCACCAATTCGCATACCGCCAGAACAGGAGCACAGAGGATGCAGTCTCCATTGCACTGCACTCTGTCCTCTCACACCTGGACAACAACAACACATATGCCAGAAATCTTTATGTTTTTAATGATAATATAATCCATTTTGTTGTTGTTGTCAACCTGTAAAAGATTTACTATTCATTCTATTTTACATTTAAATTATTTCTAACATTTAGCTTTCAGAACAGTATCATTGCTTAACATGTCTTTCATTTTGTTCTTATCTTAAAAAACAGACAGGCTGTACTAATGTAAGACAGCACTGGCATAGTCAGCTTCTTTTTATTGTTCTATTTCCCTGTAACTCATGTGTTTGCCCACATTTTTAACTGTTTTACAGAGTACTCAGAACCACAATGTAACTGCACCACCAGCACATGCTCCATGTTCGCCACCAGCCTCTACTATCTCTACCCCTTCAATATTGAATACCACATTTTTGTTTCTGTCTTGCTTTTCGTGATGTGGAGAAATATTGGACGCACCATTGACCTCACTTCAAACCATAAAAGGCAGGTTGCCAAAAACCGGGGCTTGATCTTAGGTCCTCTTGTGGGTCTACTTGCCCTGGCCAGCAGTATCGGAATACTGGTGGTCTACGTTACTCATGTAGAGAAGTCAATCCAGATGCGAAGGTCAGCCGTTTCCATGTTCTACATTTATGCCATCGTCATGCTGACGGTCATGTGCTGCGCCGGTGCTTCGGGTCTGCTTATATACCGAGTGAACCACATGCCGCTGGACACCTCCAAGAACCCGTCAAGACAGCTGGACACGGAGGTGCTGTTTGGATCCTCCATTGGCTCCTGGTTCATGTCATGGTGCAGCATAGTGTCTGTGCTAAGCACCGGAAGCAACCCTCCTTACCGCTGGACAAATTTGGTCTACTCTCTGTTTATTGTGTTGGAGAAATATGTCCAGAATCTCTTCATCATAGAGTCTTTGTATCGCCAGCAAGAGGATAGAGAGAGGCAGGACCCAGAGTTACCAGCTGCTCCAGAAGTCTTCTCTGTCACTTCCTCTCTCGCTCCGCCGTACAATGGCATCATCAACCGAACTTTTGAATCTCCAGACAGGAGCTGTGTCTCTACTGAGAGCGAGCAGGAGGAGAGTGAGCAGGTTTATGGATGCCCACGGAAACATTCAGATGTGCCAGCGCCTGTGGGAAACGAAACAGTGGAACGCCCAAATATAAAGAGGCAGATCCTGAAGAATATTGCTGTTTTCCTTATTATGTGTAACATTTCGGTAAGCACTGGTTAACTGGTCTGTGATGATTAGTTTTTTAATAGGTGGAATTGATCGAGCTGATGTAAAATCTACTGACCATTTGAAACTTCATTTGATTAAGTGTATTTTACCCAACAAAATGCGAAGTTCATTTCTTTTTGCTAGGATGACTCCCAAAAGTCAAAAGTTATTATTTGTTCATTTTAAGCTTCTGTAATTAATATATTTGCTATTCACTATTGCCATAGTGGTAAACACAAAGAGGGATTCCATGCCAATCACCCTCATTTTAATATGCTTAAGCCACATTTGTATTGTTTTGGTTTAGTTTCACTACTCTCATCAACAACAGATACAAAACTCTCCATTAAGTGTTATGTGACGTGTAACAATCATTAGCTATAACTGAGATTATAACTAAAGTGAGGACGTTACTAGCTTGTGGTGAAGGTAGTGGAGCACTGAGATATTTTCCTCAGGAGTGATGGTAGCAAAAGTAAAAATAGAGGTAATAGAGACTAATTACAGCATTTTTGGCTAATTGAATTTCAAATATAATAATATAAACAGGCAACTTTAAGCCTTATAAAATGACACTGTTGTGTTTCTACCTTGTTGTTCTGCCCCTAAGTAGCTAAAAGTATATGAATTCAGGTGTATCTAATTAGAGCTCTCTCTTTTTTCCATTTCAGCTGTGGATTCTTTCTGCCTTTGGCTGCAGGCCACAGTATGACAACGGACTGGAAGAGGAGACATATGGCTTCAGCATATGGAGCACAGTTCTCAATTTTGCCATCCCTTTGAACCTTTTCTACCGCATGCATGCAGTTGCCTCCCTCTTCGAGGTGTTCTCCAGAGTCTGACAAAATAGCAGATGACTGACAATGGCAACATGCACACGAACACTTGTCACCACTGGCTCTCGAGAGTGTGTCACAGCGCAGGTCAACCATTCAGGAGGCAGTCTGGATCACAGTCCAACAGACTTGAAAGTAATCTGTGGAGACAAACGTTGATCCCTCACTGTGGGGATTGCAGAGGAGGACAAACCTATTAGACCTGGTTCCTTAAAGAATTAGCTTGTGTAATGCAAGGGTTGTTAAAGCTAGTGATGAAAAAAATATTTGGTTTTATGAATTTAGAAAGGGTTCTTTGTACTTTTTATATTGTAGTAACATTACAGTGGGGTTTCTAACAGGTGGATCATGTACAATATATGCTTTAGCTGACATACACTTTCTATATTATTTCATATTAGTGACTGAAAACATAATTACTATTATAAAATAACACCCTACCAACATGATTACCATATACAAAAAGACTGCAGAGGAACTACATAAACACTCATTATTTTCAATATCCAATAGTACTGTATTTAACAGCTACAAGCTCAGCGGTGTACCACCTGATCCTTACTTTATCTGCATTTAAAATGTTCATACTTTACATGGATAAGGTTCTCATTTGCTTGCCTAAGTAGTTAGGTTAGTGAACACTTAAGTTGTAAGTGCCAATCTAAGCACAAACAAATTAAATCATCTTTTGAGTTGGATATTAGTTCTCAGATGTAGCACTTAATTCCCTTTCTCAGCCATTTAAGGTTCCTCAGTGTCTTACTGCGTTCTCATTTGCTGCTCTGTTGAACTAATCAAGAAGTTGTGTTAAAAAAGGCTTCTCTTCTGGACCTTGATAACACTGAACTAATGTGCATTAACACGATTGTGCATAAGGATGGGATTTTTGCAAAACAAACTGTTGCAGTGACAACTGCTGCATGGCACTGCGGACTGATGTTTACATCTGAAGAACCAGAAATGAAAACCATCACACTGATATAAATGACAACACTTGCTTCTCCTCTATTAAAACCACAGATATATAATAGTACTGTACTAGTTTGTATCAGATCACCAAATAATCTTAGACATTCAGCAGGTTCTCAGCCTGGTGCCATATACTGTATGTGCTCTCAATATGTGCCAAGTTGTGCAAAATGTTTTGTTTTGCAGATTTTTCTGCCATCTTAGTAAATACTGTTATACTGACCAAAATCATTTAAAGGGTGCGCTATGATTTTGTGAAATTTCAGTTAAATGGTGCTATTGAGAAATGATGTCTAAAGTTAGTTGTAATTTCATATCTTTTTCCTGTTGAAATAAACAAGAACTATCTTTATGTCATGTCGTGTTGCTTAACCTGCTACACACTCTGTTCACTCTTCAATAAAAGTCTGGAAGGGTAACAGATGCAGTGTGCCTATGCACCACAGGATGGCGCAACGTATTTATGTCTTTTGTTGAGACTGCTTTGGACTATCCAAATGATACTGCCTGATGGTCTTCATTTAAATGACTGTTTTACGATTTCTTAAAAAATAAGTGATAAAGATAGGATAGATTTAGATTTGAAGACATACAAAGTTGCAAAGCATACCAACAGCAACGAAGAACTGCACAATTGTGCTTCTATTTGTGACTTCAAAATAGAAGTCCTATAGTTTGGTGTTAAATTGGAAATAGTAATCCGCAATATACACTTTGCAAAATATCAGTCATCTTTTGCAGCGACCTCCACACCAACCCGTCTATAGATAACTAACGTGTGCTGTCTGCGTAAAAAGGAAATGCAGTGTCGGACACAGGTTGTCTCCTGACATGGCATCACGAGCTTATGTTTATGCTACTTCAGAGAATATGGCATTGAGCGTCGGGGGATGATTTTAACGTTGTGTCAGAACGATTTGACAGGCAGGCGGAGGCGTCTAAAAATACCCGTGACGTTTCAAAGCCGGAAACGGCGAGTCTGCTGCACAGGCACACGACGACGCAGAGCAGCTCCCGGCCTAACATGCTCCCTAGGAGTGTGAATGTGACTCACCTGTTCGGACAACTCGGCTAAATGGGTGGGTTATGACCTTCAGTCGCTGCCGTCGGGAGACAAAAGAATACCGAAAAAAAAGAAAAGATAAAACTTCCATAGTTGAAAATTACCTTTTTTTTAATTAATAAGGCAAACGCAATGAAAGTATCTAAGTAGCCTGTCATATTACCTAAAGATGTGTTAGATGGGTTTTATTATTTTCATTATTCACTGAAAATTTTACATAGATAGATAGATAGATAGATGGGGTTCTCAGCTTTCAGCACCACGGACAGTTCTGCACTGTTAGACTACGAGTAAGGCTCCGTTCTTTCACTGTCACTTCATGGGCGTATGTTGTAGTTTTGTGTGTATAATATAGATTGTAAATGCTCTCTCTGGACTTGGACAGAAATGCACAGTGTTGTCTCTCTGAAGTCTGTCGTAATAATAGGGCTTAAATATAAACCAGGCTATAACACTATCCATAACTGGATGAAAACCCGCAGCTGATAGGAAGTTTGTAATTGCTCTCTTTGGAGTACACACACACACACACACACACACACACACACACACACACACACACACACACACACACACACACACAAGAAAAAAATCCCTGAAAATACCGAATGCTCTCTACCCAGTCCCGACGCAGTGGACGGCTGTGCGTAACATGCATGTGTTACGCACAGCAGTGTCAGTGTATGCGCACAGCCCTGGCTAAGTTAGTGTGTTGGGACTCCCTCCTTACCCACGCTACGCTCAGGATATCTTGTGCAGAAAGCTTCAAAGTGGAAGCCAGGTCAGACGATCCGACCGTAAAGGCTGCAACATGCGCCCGCCACTACGTGCTGCGTTTCAGCCCCTCAGCGCACCTGACACGTCGCCTGGCTCACTTTTAACACGCGCAATTGTCTCGTTCCCTCTGTTTCGCACTCCACATAAGGCTGGCAGCCAGGCTGATCATTGGGGACAAAACGATGGCTGGCCGATAACTGAGCCCGTCCCCGCGCACGGAGCAATGGACTTCAGTTTTACTTGAAGAAGCAAATGGAGAATCCAGCAAAGTATCTCTCGTCAGTGCAGGGTATTGACTCTGCGCGGGCACCCCTCGGAGAGATTATGTGGAACAGTACTGAAACTGAGGCAAAAAGCGACGGGAGAAGGGATATGGTGGCACGCACAGTGACGGGCTGTCTGCTTTCTCTGCTTATCCTATGGACCCTGCTGGGGAACATCTTGGTGTGTTCCGCGGTGCTGCGCTTTCGGCACCTACGGACCAAAGTCACCAACATTTTCATCGTGTCCCTAGCGCTGTCGGATTTATTCGTAGCCGTCCTGGTTATGCCCTGGAAAGCTGTGGCAGAAGTAGCTGGCTATTGGCCGTTTGGCACTTTCTGTAATGTGTGGGTTGCTTTTGATATTATGTGCTCCACCGCTTCCATCCTTAACCTCTGCATTATCAGCGTGGATAGATACTGGGCCATCTCCAGTCCCTTCCGCTACGAGAGGAAAATGACCCAGCGAGTTGCCTTTGTTATGATTAGCATCACTTGGACGTTGTCTGTGCTCATTTCATTCATACCGGTCCAGCTAAATTGGCACAAAGCCAGCGGTGACGACATGGTTGGGGCGCACAACTCTTCCATAAGTAGGCAGGTAGAGGAAAACTGCGACTCCAGTCTGAGCAGAGAGTATGCGATATCCTCCTCCTTGATAAGTTTTTATATCCCAGTGGCAATTATGATTGTAACATATACCAGGATATATCGGATTGCACAAATACAAATTAGAAGAATAGCCTCTCTGGAGAGAGCGGCAGAACATGCGCAAAGTTGCAGGACCAACAGAATAGAGTGCCAACACCACAACACACTGAAAACGTCGATTAAACGTGAAACCAAAGTGTTCAAAACTCTGTCGGTGATCATGGGTGTCTTTGTGTGTTGCTGGCTACCTTTCTTCGTTTTAAACTGCATGGTCCCGTTCTGCGACAGGCCGGCGGCAGACCGGGATGCGGGTCTTCCGTGCGTAAGCGAGACGACCTTTGACGTCTTCGTGTGGTTCGGCTGGACCAACTCCTCCCTGAATCCCATCATATACGCCTTCAACGCTGAGTTCAGGAAGGCCTTCGCCAGCCTCTTGGGCTGCCGCTATTTCTGCTCCAACACGCCAGTGGAAACTGTTAACATCAGCAACGAGCTGGTGTCGTATAACCAAGATACCCTCATCCACAAAGAAATCGCGAACGCTTATGTGAATATGATCCCCAATGTCGTTGAATGTATCGAGCATGAGGAGACTTTCGACAGGATTTCACAATTTTCTCACAACCACGAAAACGCCACCGACTCGGTTTGTGACCTGGAGGACTGCGAGGCAGACATCAGCCTTGACAGGGTGTCACCATTCACACCCAATGGATTACACTGACTCCACACCTTGTCTCTCCCCGTGCGTAACTGGATGTATTGATAATAATTTCATTGTTCACTCAGCTCTTTGCCTCTTCACAGAAGGTTTCTGTGCAGCAGCCCTTGCTTCTGGGTTCAGGGCTGTCTTGGAACCCTCTAAAGTACACTTAAGCAGGGGCATGTCTCTGCAGCCACAAGGCCAACCTGACATGAAATGTGATGTTGTCTTGTTGTCTGAAACAAATTTGATGTGTAGGTGTTTATTTAAATGACAAGTGAAGTCTGTGTTCCTTTGTTCAAGGTTCAGTGTTGCTAAAGCTGTTGTTTACTCAGAGGCTTTAATGGCATCATCGTCTAATGTCCATCATGACTGAGGGAAAGTGTTTGTAAAAACAAGACTCTTTGCTGCTTAATAACTTCATGTGTATCCAGTGTTCGCCTTTCCACTGAGTATGAAAACTGGGGGAAAGCCTTACAGACAGTGAAACCAAGACAGTCAAATGCAGTTATTTCAGAGCCTTATAGCTTATTCAAATAACAGCTTTGAGACATAAAAGGAATGTGTCCTGTAGAATTCAAGTTACACAATGCCAAAATGCAGTATTAAAGCGTTTTGCCACTGCACCACCCCAGTGACTCTTCCAACATGCCTGGATGATAAAAATCACATAATCTAATGCTATAAATACAAAAAAGGGGAATCTGTGTGCATTACTACTTTTTGTGATCATTTATTTCTCATTGAGGCCAAAACTACTGTAATGCTTCTGCTTTATGAGCCCGATTCAACTCTGACTGAAATAACTAAAAGGAGAAAGATTGACCAAAGACTTCAAGGAGAGCATTGATAGACACAACAAGGGTGCAGTGTCATGTCAGCTAGAGGAAATGTTACTATAGAAGCCTAAATACATGTGTGGCCATTGGCCCAACACAACTGGATGTCATGCATCACCTCTCCCACATTTCTCTCTTATATTTGTACTGTACAGATGACCTGATCTGAATGTATACTACTGTCCTTTAAACAGTGAAGTGTGTCATCATTTGTCTAATAAAATGCTGTCATGCATCAGAGTGAGCTGGTATCTTCGCGAACCCAATATTCATGCTAACGGGATTTCAGGTGGTTTCTGTGCAGCTTGGAGAATTTTATTTTAAGCATAACAGGAAGTGAGTTCATTCTTATGCACATCCACATCTGACCCGTTCTTTTGACATGTTTCTTCTTTTGGTATTTTGCATTCTTTGAACATCTTAACAGCTGAGATTGACAGGAAGTGTTGGCAGAGAAACAGCTAGTGAGGGGACATGACATGCACCAGAAGTGCACTCAAAATGAAGAACGTTGTGGTTACTTGGTTGCATGGTATACAAGCTGCTGCCCCACCAAGACTTGATTTGACCTGTCTTCCACAGGTTTGGCCAGCTGGTGTATTTTCTATTACACACGAAGAAAGGTTTGAAGTCACAGTTGTGTAGGTAAGGCAATACAAAGAGCAGAACATGGAAGCGAAGCAGCTCGTTTTTGTACTTACAATTTATTTTTCAGTAAAGCAATATTTTTATTTAATGTAGAAATCAATCAATGTTTAGACATCGTAAATAACATGATATCTGAAGCAAAAGTTTGAATTGCCAGAAACATCTGTTAGTTTAGCCTTTTTTTCCAACAAAAGACAAAACCCACTATGTGAAAATCCCTTCATGGTTTGATCCCTGCGTTTGGCACAAGTAAACAGAAAATGCTCCTTTTTGCCACAGTTATCTAGACTGATGCACTCCAACTCAATCATTTGTCTAAAATTGACTTTTGGATTCTGGATACATCAACCTCGGGTTCAATGCTTTACTAGGCTTCATGATGAGTGACAAGTATTGGCCAAAGGAATATGCGAATAGGGAGGGATTAACAATGGAATGACTGCCAGAGAGTACACAATGCATATCATAGCTGTATAAATCATCAACAAAAGAAAGTCTGTGGCAATAATTCAGATTCCTCAGTCTTCTATATTAAATCTGCAATACCACAAGGAAGCTATTTACCACAACATGTTAATGTACAACAGAAAACACAAGATAATTAATTTCCAAATAACTTCATTTGCATTTTTTGAAAACTTTCTTTTTACTTTGTATGAACTCAGATTTTTAATATTAACCCAAGATGTTCTGTTCACTGTAATTCATTACCTGATTTATGCTGCCAGTGGTGGAAGAATTATTTAGACAGTGTACTTAAATGGGAACTCTACATTGGTAAGCAGCTTCCTGTAACCCACCTATTAAAAAAAGAACGTTTTTGTCTCTTGGCAGGGAGACGCAAACAGATTCTGCATGACATCTGTGAGTTTTGTTTGAGGTGTCACTTTAAGACACCAAGTTAAAAAAAACAAGCAAACAGAAGAACATGCGGGGCTACCCATGTATGCTTGAGGTTATTTGCCATTATTGGCGTCAGACATTCAAATTTCTGAGAAAACTGAAGCCGGTAAAATTGTGGGTAATACAAGCAGATTTTGAAAAGGAAGAAAACTGAGTTTAAAAAAAAGACTTTCAACCTGCTTAAAGCACAAGCTTTATAGTCTGAGTCTGGTGACGTTAGAGGAGTCCAAAACTAAATAAGAGAAAATGCTGTAAAAATATGCAAAAGCATTTAACTTGAGTCAGTCATGCCTTCAAAATAATTTAAAAGCTGTAGTTGTATTTTAATTACTTAATCTAAATCAATCCACTGTATCACGAGTTTATAACAGGCTTCCCATGTAAAATATAAGAAAATAGTGGAATAATGAGTACTATATTTACTTTACTTGCTCAAATACTATTACTTATTTTGCTATATAATAAATCAAATATTAATTAAACCACTCAAAAATAGATGTTTTGATGTCTAAACAGTCACATTTTATTTCCTCTGCAGTTCTTTTTTTTATTTGATAAGTGAATTAACATTTTTAGTGTAGAATTAACTGCTAACAATTACAATAAAGTAAGACATGATAGCACAAAATGGAAAGATATACACTTTTGTTGGCCACACAGACTATCAAGACATAGCTGAAAATTTATAATTCAACAACACTAAAAAAAACAGGAGTTTAAAGCCTCATTGCATGTCTCAAACCTAAAATTATAACTCAAGTGATGGAGGAAAAAATAATCTACGTCCAATCCAAATGCGCTCTAAATGACACAGCTGTTCTTCTGCAAAGTATCTCCCTTGACACATTTTTCTTTTCTTTTTTTGTTAGAAATTAAGTTATGTTCCCTCATAAGAGAAAATTTCACACAGATGCCAGGGGAATACAATTAAATGACACTGAGAAGAAAGCCTGTTATAACTGGAGCCCAGAGGCTACTCTTCAATGTTATACTAACCTACCACCTCCTTCCCATTGCTGGTCAGTGTTTCTCTCATTTGGATGAAAGGTGGGTGATGGCAGGAGGGGACTGATAAAACAGGCTGCTTCTGACAGAATTGGAAAGTAGGTGATACCTCAGCAAGAACACATCAGGCTTTGACTGATGATTTAGCAGTGACTGGTACCATCATATTCAGGGCTTAAGGAGTGATGCACTTTGACCCTTCATTTTTCATTAATTGCATCAGGGGTATAATTAAAGTAGGAGGTTTTGATGTCAGATTTCCTGGGTCATGACATTTACTTGAACTGACACAGGAGTAATGACACAAAATTGATGTCTTTTTTTTAAAAAAAAAAAATTAAGGCTTTTTTTAAGCATTCATTCATTAAATGAGTGAAAAACAGGGAAGTAGAAGAATTCCAGGTTACGAGCTGTTTATTCATTCTCTGTGCTGTGCCATTGCAGTGTGGAACAGATTTGAAAGGTGGTTTGACCTCGATATGCAGGCATGACAGGAGAGCTGGAGAGGAAGTAGAGGCAGGCTTTAGGGGGGTTACACCATCCGTCAGGACACATTCATCAAAATCACTCTGCACGCACGCACACACGCACCCTCAGCCAGCCACATGAAGCACACGCATTCAGAACATTCAAAACCACCGCTACAAGAGATTTGTTCGAATCTGTCTTTTTTACCTTGCTAGAAAGTAGACACTACTTTTTTTTTCATTTCACTCCCTCACTGGGTTCTCAGCATGTCTTTTTCCTTATTCTTCAGAAGATTTCAGTCATCTTAGAAAAAGCAGAAGAGGCAGTTGTTTCTTTTCCTTTTTTGAATGGTGTGAGCTGCAAGCAGGGTAAAAGGGCCCTTTAATTACCCTAACTCAAACCTGGCCTGTATTATGGGATAACCCATCACTACCTACAGATGGTAGTTTCAAAATCATGGACAAGTTCCAAAAACGTCGAAAATTAAGTATCAAGCTACACAGCTTTGTTGACTTTTTTTTTAAAACTGAAAAACATGGCTGACTGTGTCACTGCTTCAAACACTGTTTACGTGAAGAAAAAAGTGTTCCCTTTGAAAATATTAAACAGCTACAAGCATGTTTTACAAGGAAAACATCAGCAAAGAGTGCAACAACAATAAAAATAAATGGCAGAAAATTTGCAGCGGCGGTAAACAGTGTTTATCTAGCAGCTGATGTGAACATCAAACTTCTTCAAAAAAAGATTCAAAAAGAAAATGCATGATGCAATGTTGATGCTTTTTACTGGAATTTCTCCACCGAGACTTCAGGGTAGCTGCGTGATCACAGGAACCCGCCAAAGGAAATTGGACATGACAAGTGACAGCCAGGAGATGAGCACAGGTAACATTTGGCAGGAATTAATATCATGATTTTTTTTTTTTTTTTAATTTAAAGAAGAAAGGCTATGCTGTGCGATGCTTGTTTAGGTCTGCTACCATGATTAGCTGGTAGAAGTCACTGATTGATACCAGTGTGACTCAGTTCTGAGTTAGCCTCGGGGTAGAGTGGGCTTGAAATAAGTTTGACTGTATTTTTCTAGGAGACTATAATTTGCATTCGTCTACCCCAAGAGTGCAGTAGACTGGTTTGAACATATAGATCAGTATAACATTTCTGAGTGAAATCTCACTAATATTAATGTCTCTCCATCTTATTCCTTCACTTTTCGTCCTATACCGACACTGTCATGTTCCACTCAGACAATGACTCTTTCAACTCCACCAAAGTTTTAACAATTGCATGTTTTTTCTTCTTGAGATAAAAAAAAGACTTAGGCTGTCTTTTGAACTGCATTGTTAAAGAAGCGCTCTCTTTCAAAATCACCAAAACACTGTTGCATACCTGTATTAGAACAGTTCAACTTTGAAGATCAGACATTCCTCTCTGACACTTTCTTTTAACTGTTGCTGCCATACCATCCTTTTCCTCTCTCTGACGCAGTCTGAGGTTTTGAGTTACTCTGGTGAGCTTGAATGCAGAGACTGACTGGTGTCTATTTCCCCAAAAGGCTCCAGGTCCTGCACAAACTCTCACGTGGGCAGAGCAAAACAGGTGATGTTGAGGCAAGACTCAGTTTGGAGTGTTTGTGGTTTCAGTACAAACAGTTTCTCTCTGAAGGAGAGGGACAGAACAGGAAATACTCAAAAAATACAAGAACAAGAATATACACTTTTAAGGGGGAAAAGTAGTTGCCAGTATTTATTTATTTATTAGAATTAGCCAAATGCTATTATTCTAAATATTATTCTGTTATACTGTTTTTGTGATTTGGTGCTATATAAATAAAACTGAATTGATAGGAACACAACAACAACAACTCAAATAACAACTTGTTACAACAAAAGGTATGCACAAGAGCACATCTGAATGCACAATGCATCAAACCTTAAAGCAGAGACAAACATATATTAACATTTTAACAGTGAGGAAGTTTGATAAATTATTTTCATAAGGGCCATCTAGATGTGCAACATAGCATCTTACAAATGCACAGACTGGCTGGAGTCAGCCAGTTTTTTCATGACAGTAATGCTGTCTGTACCAGACATTTAGTGACTTCTACTGAAGGGATCCTGATCAAGTGCCAGTATAGAGCAAGTTTGAAGCCAGATTGCTCTCCTTTGGAAAACAAAACAAAGTTTACAGATGGCTGACATT